GTTCAATATTAAAAAATGAGTGGGGCGCTGCAATCCTGAAGGTATGTGGTTTGAATCCACCAGATGCTCTGCTGGAGAAGCAGGGGTAATCTCCTCTTGTGCCAGTCAGATTCAACTTGACGGTATATAACAAGAAAAAAAAAAAAAGAAAGACGGTCCGAAAAAGGAGTGTGTCAGGGATGTGTCTTGTCTTCAAACCTTTTCAGTCTCTAGGTGGAACAGATCATCCAGGAGGCCGAACTTTATGAGGAAAGATGTGGCATCAGTATTGGAGGAAGACTCATCTACAACTTGTGTTACGCAGATGACACAACCTTGCTTACTGAAACTAAGGAAGATCTGAAGGGTTACCTGCAGAAGGTCAAGAACTACACTCTTCAATATAGACTGAAGCTCAGCATCAAGAAAACAAAAGATTCTCATTATTGGACCCATGATAGAAGGAGAAGAGATTGAGACTGTTAACAATTTCATGTCAGGTCCACAATTAACACTCTTGGCACCAGCAGTCAGGAAATCAAAAGATGAATTGCATTAGGAAAATCTGCTGTCAGGGACTTTTTCAGAGTGCTGAAGAGCAACAATGGCAGTCTAGAGACTAAGATGTGCCTGCTCCAGGCAATAGTCTTCACCATTAATTGCTACGCTTTAGGGAGCTGGACAATAAATAAGTATGACAGAAGAAACAGCTGATGACTTTGAGTTGAGGTACTAGAAAAGAGTGTTGAACATACTATGGACTGCCAAGGGAACAAACAGTTATGTCCTGGGTGAATAGGGTGAAACTAGGTTGCTCTTTGGTGGTAAGAATTATGCAACTTTATCTGACATACTTTAGGTATTTTGCCAGAAGGGACCAGTCCTTGGTGAAGGACATCATGCTTGGAAGGGGGAGGGACAGCACAAGAGAGGAAGACCCCAGGTGAGATGGATTGACACAGTAAATGGGGTAATGGAGGTTCTGTGTGTCAGAGACAGTGAGTTTGGCTCAAGATAAGGCAGAATTCAGAGCTATTCTACACTGGGTCACCATGAGTCCCAGTTGACTTGATGGCACTTAACAATAACATGCAATCAAATGCCTTGTATGGTCAATAAAACACAAATAAACAACTTTCTTTTATTCTCTGCTGTCAGCCTATATTCATCTGACATCAGCAATGATGGCCCCCATTCCATGGTATCTTTTGAATCCAGCATGAATTTCTGACAGTTTCCTGCTAATGAACTGCTCCAGGTGCTTTCCAAAGAATCTTTAGTAAAATTTCATTAAATGTGATATTAATGATACTGTTTTTATATTAGACAGATATGCTGGTCTTTTCAATTGTTCAGGTCTTCTAATTTTTGGCAAAAATGAATAAACATGTCCAAAACTGTATTTGCTTGCCGAAACACCTCTATTGATATCATACAAGTTCCTTGAACCTTATTTTTTTAGTGAATGCCCTATTGCTTTTACTTTTTCCTTTAGATCATCAATTCTTATCCTATGCTACTTCCTGAAATGCTTCAGTGTCAACCACTTCTTTTTGGTACTCTGAGTCTGTGTATTCTTTTCGTCTTCTTTTGATGCTTCCTACATCATTCAATATTTTACTCATAAAATCTTTCGATACTGCAACTCGAGGGTTGCATTTGTTCAATTCCTTCAGCTTGAGAAATGTTGAGCATGTTTTTAATTTTTCTTTTTCTAACTACAGGTATTTGAAGCTCTTGTGGTTATTTCTTTGCTTTGTCTTCTTGAGCTGGCTTTTGAAATCGTCCGTTCATCTCTCTTTGTTGACCATTCTTTCCTTTGTTCTTGCTTTTCTGTGTGTAAGAGCAATTTTCAGATTTTCTGCTAACATCAGTTTTGCTGTTGTCCTTCTTTCCTGTCTTTTCAATGACCTTTTGCTTTTTTTCATGGATAATGTCTTTGATGTCACTTCACAACTCATGTGCTCTTTGGACATCAATGTTCAATGCCTCAAATAAATTTTTGAGATAGATTTTAAATTTAAATAGGATAAGCTCAAGGTCCTATTTTGGCTCTTGATGACAGAAGAAGAATTTGTATCTTTGAGTTGTGGTGTTGGAGAAGAACACTGACTATTACATGGACTGCCAAAAGAATGAACAGATATGTCTTGGAAAAAGTGCAGCCAGAATGCTCCTTGGAGTCAAGGATGGTACAGGTTAGTCTCATACACTTTAGGCATACAGCTAGTAGAGGATATTCCTTGGAAAGAAACATCATGATAGGAAGGATGGAGGGTCAGCCATAGAGAAGAAGCCCTGAATGACATAGACTGGTATGGTGGCTGCAGAACTGGGCTCAAGTGTCTCAGAGAGAGATGATGAGGATTGCACAGAATAGGATAGGTTTGGATCTGTTGGTCAAAGGGTTGATATGTGTCAGACTCAACTCAGTGGCATCTAACAACAACCAGTGTATTTGTTTTCATTTTCTTCAGCTTCAGCATGAATGTTCAGATGAGTTTTTGATGGTATGTTCAACAATTGGCTTTGACCTACTTCTGAATGCTGATATTGAGTTTCCCCACCATCTCTTCCTTTCTACAGATGTATTCAATTTTATTCTTGTGTACTCTGTTTGGAACAGTCTATGTGTATAGTCACTGTAATTTTTAAAAGGTATTTCCAATCAAGATATCATTGATTAAAAAAAAAATTCTAACCTGTGATATGTAGTTTCATATGCAACCAATGCCTTATTTTCCAACTATTAGTCATACTTCTTTCCAATTCTTTCATTCCAGACTACCTATTAATCATTTAATTCCATTATTATTAAGACATTTTGATTGTAATTTCTGTCAATTTTGGATTGTGAAAGCTGGTAGAAACTTTAATTCCTTCACTTTTTTGCTTTAATGGTTGAATAATGGTATTAACAGCTCTTCCTTTTATGCATATGGTTATTATCCTGTCATTGACAGTAGTGTACTTAAGGGTAATCTTGAAATACTCTTTTTTATGATAAATGCAAATCTATTCTTCTTTAATTGCTATTCCTGGTGTAATAGATCATTTGATTGTCTGATCAGTCCATTCCAGCTCACTCTTTTCTAGGATGTCAATATTTAATTCATTTCACTAAATTTTTTACAATTTCCATTTTTCCTACATTTTTACTTTGCACATTCCTTACTTGAATTACTAATTGATATTTGCAGCTGTTTCTCTTAATTTTGAATTGTACCTCCTCAGTCAATGAACCTTGTTCACTAACTGAAAGCTTTACTCCATCCGCATCATTAAGATAGACTCTACTTTGAGGACAGAATTCATCTCTAGTAACATTTCAATGTCTTCCAACCTGAAGGACTGTTTTTTTGGGCACTATTTCAGACATGTTCAGCTGCTACTTATATGACTTTTGAGGTTCATTCAGAAATGGATGGCCAGTTCTGCTTCCTACTTTGTCTTAGTCTGAAAGTTCTACTCAAACTTATCCACCAGGGATGACCAGATAGTATTTGAAACACCAGTGGCATAGCTCCTCACATCATTGTTGTTGATAGGTGCCTTCGAGTCAAGTACGACTCATAGCGACTCCATGAAAAAAAGATCAGAACCCTGCTCTATCCTGCACCATCTTTTCACTTCCTAACACATAAAAGCCCACTGCAGCAGTCACTGTGTCAGTCCCCCTGGTTCAGGGTCTTCTTCTCCTTCACTGACCCTCCACCCTTCCCAGCATAATTCTCCAAGGAATAGCTCCTCCTAGCAACATTCACAAAATATGTAAAGCGAAGCCTCATCATTTTGCCTCCAAAGAGCACTTCAGCTGCACCCTCTCCAAGACATAGCTGTTTGTTTTCTTGGCCGTCCATAGGATGTTCAGTGTTTTTCTCCAACACCACATCTCTGTCATTGTTATTCATTATTCAGCTCTCATATGCATAGCAAGTGATCGGAAAGACTATGGCCTGAATCAGATGCACTTTAGTCCTCAAACTGACATCATTACTTCTCAATAATTTGGAGAGGCCAATAACTGCAGATTTTCCCAGTGCAATGCATCTCCTTATTTCCTGACTGCTGGTACCAAGGGTGTTAATTGTGAATCCATGCAAGATGAAGGTGTTGACAGTTTCAATGTCCTCTCCATTCATCATGATGCTGCCTATTGGTCCAGTGGTAAGAATCTTTGTTTTCTTGACATTGAGATGCAATCCACATGGAAGGCTGCAAGACGTCCTTACTTTCAGCAAGCAAAATTGTGTCATTTGCATAACACAGGTTATTGATGAATCTCCCTCCAATCCTGATGCCACACTCCTCTTCATTGAGTCCAACTTCTAGGATAATTTGCTTAGCATACAGACTGAATAGGTATGGAGAGAGAATATAGCACTCCTTTGAGAATATAACTTTAGGGGCTATGAATTCAAGGTTGGTGGATGAGGTATACATATATGTTGTTGTTGTCTAGAGAATCTAGTCTAAGGCAAGAAGCAGTATAAAAGAAGGTAAAGAGAAGCTGAAATACAAGAGAATAATCACATTATGTCTAGAAAATGAGAAATAGACTGACAGTTCAATTTAGGAATAGATTCTGTAGCTCAGAGCACAAATTGTGAAATGAGTATTGAAAGATTTTGCTTGTATAATTTATGACCTGGAGACATATTGAATGAATCTGAGTTATAGCTATCAGTTATGAATGTTTAAAATGCACGTGATTTTATTATAATTACGGTTGTATTAAGCATTATATTATTATACATAAGAGGTAAATTTTATAAAACCACCTTGTAATTAAACCTGTGTTTACTAACAAATTGCTGTGGTTACTGCAGCATTTCATTTATTATAATGAAAGTTTTCACTGTGCAACTATTACAGAAACCCGTTCATATCTTGAAATGTGACCAGGGACTTTCAAATCCCTTGGGATCAGCTAGTTATTTCTCTGGAATATGGCTTTATAGATGGAGCTCAGATAAAATCAGGCAGAATTATCCCCACCGTGCCTACTCTTGAGAGAGTTTCTATTTATTTACAAACTTGTCCATATTGTAACTGTATACGGAGAGAAATTCCAAGATCTGCCTGCCTGGATTTCCCAGCAGGAGAGCAATCCAGGGTGACTTGTCATAATACACTTCCTTTTGGCGCAGGGCTCCCCCTTTGATGATGGCCAAGGCGCATTCATCCTTTGGAGCTGGGTCTTTGTCAATTATTCCAGAAATGGCCTTCATTGCTGTCTCTGTAGAGTGAGAAGAGTGGTGTTATAAAAAAAAAACAAAACAAAACCAAAAAACAACAAAATAACAAAAACCCAAACCAATCTAGTATAGTGTACAGGATGGAATGTTTACAGACACCAAACAGCCAGTGGCTGTTTGTCCGTGCTTGCCCAGCACTTTTGGGAACACTGAGAGAAAATGGGGTGTTTTTAAGGCCTATGGAACAAAGAGTGACTGGAGTGTTTACAGAGGACCTGTCTTTCCAGATGAAGGTTTGCTAGGGTTTTTAGAGGTGATTAACTGGGAGATTTGAACCTTGTTCTTGCTTTGTTGTTTTGGATGGGAAGGTTGTTGGGAGAGAATGAGGATGAATCAGCAGAATCAGTGGGCAGAAACAAAGTCCTGGGTGATAGTGATTCATGACGTGTTAAAAAGAAGAGAAAGAGAAGATTCCAGGCTTTTGCTGGCCACTTTCATCTAAAAGGTAACTCTACTGTTAGTCTCTTTCTCTTTTCCTGTTCCCTCTTTCTTGCCATCCCTTTCTTCCTTCTCTTTTTAAGCTATTACTCAGTTACTGTTTAAATGTAACAGGTATAGTTAGTATCTGTTGAATGTTTTATACATCCTTTTATTTGAACTTCCAGAAAAGTTGCAAAATCAGTACAAAATATTCCCTTTTTTTATCATATTTTATTATTTTGTGCGTGTGTGTACTGTCAAATTAGATCTGATCGGTACAGAAGGAGATTGTCCCTCCTTCTCCAGCAGAGCATCTGGTGGATTTGAACTGCACATCTCTGGGTTGCAGTGCTGCTTTTTGCCACTAGGCCACCAGAGTTCCCTAAAATGTTCCCTCTTATCTCTCACTTTGCTTCCTCTCATCTCAACATCATGCATGACCCTTGTAAAAGAATCAATAACAGGTACAATAATTAGGCTACAGGCCTTAGGTTTTCACTTATACCTTTTTTCTGCTCCAGACTCCTAACCAAGGTTGCATGTAATTATTTCCCCTTCATCTCCTCCAGGCTGTGACAGTTCTCTTAGTCTTGCCTTATTTCCTATGGTCTTGGCACTGTTGAAAAGTAAAGATTATCTCTTTTGTCATGTAGACTTCAACTTGGATGTGTCCCGTGTTCTGTCATGATTGGCATGAGATTATGCATTTTTAGTAAGAATGCACAGAAATGCTGCTGTGGGTTTCTAAGTGCATCCTACCAGGTAGTTCAGGATATTGACATGTATTTTACTGGTGGTGATGTTATTTTACAAAACACCAACTTATGTTTTAAGTCTCATGTAGAGAAGTAATCCATAAGGTTCCAAGAGGAGCTACATGATGAATGTCACTAACAGACTTGGTAGAATGGAATTTTAAAGAATGGTCAGAAGTTCCACTATTGACAGAAATAATTCTCTAAATGAAAGGGCAGTGTTTCTCTTACATGTTTTCTGTGCATTACCTCTGAATCAGAGAGTGCTACATTCTTCTTTATCCTGAGCTAGACAATTCATTTACTGGACATTTACTCTGATGTGTTGACCTTACCTGTGTTTATGAGGCCAAGAACACAGAGAGTGATTGATACATTGATGTTAGTCAATGAATATTCTGTCCTGATGGAAGAGAAGAATCCATCCAGAGCAAATTTGCTTGCAGAATAGGAAGCAAGCAGTGGAGTTGCTATTTTACCTAAATGATGAATTAGAGGAACGAGTTAGTAAGGTGATCCTTCTTAGCTTTTGACATTTTTGTTTTCTCTATAGAATGCTTTGTATGTCTTTAGAGTCCTTGAACTCCCTTGAGCCTTACCTTTTAGTTATTCCCTTATAATGGAGATTATCCTGCTCTGGCAGACTGCTTAAAGAAAAAAATATTAAGGTATTGAATAAACTCTCTCTGAAAAGACTGGGGTGAGCTACAGTGCAGCCTTCATTGAAGAAGACTGATTATATTTTTAGTAAGATTGTACATAACATGATGCCATAAGAGCCATGCAACTGAACAATTTGCCAAGCCTTCCACTTCTGACCCAAGGCAGCTGGGTTTGGCCAGAGCCTTTCAGCAATTTAATGATATGTCACTGATCATGGAAAAGGTATATTTACTTTCTACATAAAGAGGTCAACTGAGTGTGGAAACTACAGAACAATAGCATTGATTTCACATGCAAGCAAGATTCTACTGAAGAGTATCCAAAAACGACTGGAACAGTACATCAGCAGAGAATTGCCAGAAGTCCAGGCTGGGTTTAGAAGGGGTCGTGGTACTAG